TGTGTGTGTTGTGTGTTGTGTGTGTGTGGGTGGTCTGTGTGTGTGTGGTGTGGTGTGTTTGCGTGTGTGGGTGTGTGTCTCTCCTGTCCTACTTTCCCCCCCCCCACCCACCTTACACACCCAACCCCCCTCGCTCTATATATATATCATCTCTCTCGATCTCTATATATCTCCGCCCCTTTCTCTGTCCACTCTCTACTCTCTAGATTCTATCTCTCCTCTCTCTCTATCTCTATCTACTCATCCTTCATCCTCTCTACTATCCATCTACCTCCGATATGTCTACTCCCCCTCCATATCCGTCCGTAATTAATTAGTCCTTAAGGAATTGCCCCCTACTTCACATATAAGCCCTACTCCCCCCTCTTTTTTACCCATCTCACTAGTGACCAAGTTCGGTGTTTCGCCTTGATTTCAAAGAGATATGATATATATCTTTTTCATGTACCACCCACACAACACACACACACACAAACCACACACACCACACCCAATATAATGGATATCCCATATATAAACCTAGATATCCTATATAGATCATCGTCTCTCTCATCTCACTATCTCTACTCTCTCTACTCTCTCCTCTCTCTAATATAGTGTATCTCTCTGTCGATCTTTCTCTATCTCTCTCGCTCGCCAGCCTAGCTACACTTCCCTCTCTCATCACATCTTGACCCTATTCCCCTATATCTCTCTCTCTCTATCGCTCTCTATCCTCATCTCGCCCTGCCCCCTCTATCTGTCTCCCTACCTATCCTCTCTCCTCGCCGTCTCCTCTCTCCTCTCAGCGCCTATAGCTCTCCTATATCTACCCCCCCCACCCCCCCCCCTGCCCGCCTGTTTATGTTTATTTAGCCTACTCTCTCGCGCTATCTCATGCGCTCTACATGTCCTGTCTCTAATCGAGGTAGGTCTATATAGGTAGATATATTATATAAGACTCTCTCGTTCTCTCCCTATACATCTCGCATCTGTGTGTGTGTGTGTGTGTGTGTGTGTGTGTGTATGTGTGTGTGTGTATACATATACATATATACATATATATAATTACATATATATAGATAGATAGGTAGATAGATAGATAGATATGGATACATGACAGGGAATATATATCAGTGAGAAGTATGATTGGAATATGATTTCCAGGCATGCTGTGTTTCCTCCGATCCTGAACCTGATGATTTAAGCATCCAAGTCATTCAAGTAAGTTTCTACTTCTGCAAGATCTCAAATATGACTTGTTTATATTGGTTTACTAACATTTACATTGTTGATAATCGTCATGGTCATGATAACCAGCATACCATGGGTGCAATAACAGTAGTCGACACTGTAAATGACTATTTTCTAATATACAAATGAGTAGACTAATCCATTCAACGTGACTGTATTACCTGTATTTCCTGTAGAAAGTGGAGACGGGCGGAGGCTGCTGCGGCGGGCAGCAAAAGGACGAGGACGAGCACGAGGACGAGTGCTCCGCCGGCCCACGAGGACTACGCCTTTGGGTTACTCCTGCTGGCACTCAGGCGGATGCGAGGGCTGCCTGCCACGCCAAGGGTTACTCCCTCCTGGCCATCGAGGACCCGTTCCTCTTCGACGACGTCATTCACACTCTGAGGGAGGAGATGCGTGAGTTTTGTCAGTGTTGTTGTTGCCGAGGTTTGTGTCGCGCTCATAAGCAACGAAATAGTGGAGATGCACATCTGAGCATCAGTAAAGTAAGCAGCTCAGTAACCAATGGCAAAAATCCGCAGCCGGACTCCACGACTACTGGTTGGACGGCTCTGATGACAATGGCGACAGGGCTTGGCGGTTCTCTGACGGCTCAGACATGCCTCTCGGGTCGCCCTTCTGGGACCTGGAGTACTACCGGCCCTCCGGCGGAATGGATGCCGGCTGCGTGGCTCTCCAGGGCAGTCGAGATTACTACTGGCGTGACTTCCCCTGCGGCTATCTCAAGCCCGGCTTGTGCGTGTGTGGGGAAGGTCGGTCGAAGCTTCCTTGCTTGCAGAACAGTGGAGGGAAATCAGTTGAGATTTTGAGAGTAACACTAATGAACCCATTGTCTCCCTCAGCACACTAAATAGAGCTTGCGTGTTCCAGCGCCCGAGCCTCCCATGCCGACAGAGGTCGTCTGTCCAGAGAATACAACCCTCATTTTCGATCGGTGTGTGCTCGTCCTTCCGTACCTCGTGGACGCCTTCCAGGAAGCGCAGGAGGGCTGCGCTGCCGGAGGAGGCGACCTGCTCAGACTCAACAACCCGGGAGTCATGAGGGAGTTCTACTTCTTTGTCGAAGCTGATGCAGGTTTGTGATTGCGCCAATTCCCCTCGTTTGGAATGGCGTCGACTCAGGCCGGTGGCCTTGCAGTGCAAATGCACACACTCACATGCGCTCCATACTCTCCAGACATTAACTATTGCCATCGTCTAACTGTAGGGATTATGAAAATAATCTTGACCTCTGACCCGTACCTTTCAGGAAACTGGAGCGAAATTATCTTCGTTGATGGCCAGCTGAACGACGTTGGAGAATTCCTCTTTGGTGACCATTCTAAAGTGCCGATGGGTAAGGACTCTTGTGCTATGCACAAATGCAGGCATGTGTGGTCGTTTGTGTGTGTGCATGTTTGGAGCTAGTAAGATCCTAGTTACACTTTCCTTTTACTGAGTCGTGTGCTACACTTAGTATAGTCCTGCTCATTGTGGCTGTGGCACAGAGTCCTGGGGCCGGATACTCAAAACAGTTTACAATGTCGCATCTCACAGCCGAGCCGTTACAATGTCGTAAGGCCTCCGAAGGCGATGCTCGAAACAATTAGCCATGTTATGACGTCACACATTGTAAAGCACCTTGTAAGTTACAACTGCTGTGGGCCTTTCGTACGGGTTTCAAACCGGTTATAGTACCGTTTATTAACATGCCTTTTCCACATTTGATATCGGGGAATTTTAATTGTCTAGCACTTTCCTTGTTTTCTATGCTTTATCGTTGTCTTGGATCAAATATAAGCTGAATGTGAATTGAATTGACAGACGACAAACGGCATTGTTTTGGTGGCTGCTTATCTTCATGACCGAGCACTGCAGCGTGAAAGATACTATTATAGGGAATCCTTAGTTTCTCTCCATGAAACACAACGTTAAAAATATAGGAAATAATTTTGGGATACGTAATACTTACATTTCCAAGAGTCTGCTATCGTTTCTATGCTGGGGATCCACAAGGAATAATGTGTATTGAAATTCTATTTTTTGCCTGAAGATAATTGCTAATTCGTGCTATGGAAAGGAGCGTTATTCAGGAACATTGGTCATAGCTCATTTATTCTGCAACACTTGCATGAATCTTTGGAAATATCACCTGAGGAGACCGTCGTTGGGCCTTCCTGGTCAGGCAGGGTTGTTACACACACACATCATATTACTTTCCTTAACGTTAATATTAATGTATTTATCATAATCATCTCTTGTTGATGTCATGCTCATTATTTTTATCAGCCTAGGTTTATAATGATTAATATGATTATCATTATTAATGCTGTTTTGATCATCCTCGTTAGTATTCCTTGTAAGAACCTGGCATACCTGACGCCTCACCCAGTGTCTCTCGCCATCAGGTTCCTTGTACTGGCAGGTCGGGCACCCTAGCGGGGAGGCCGGCCATCTACACTACTCTACTTCAGTCTACTTGGTGAACGACGTGCCATGTGTTGTAATTCCTCCTCCTCCTTCTAGTCCTTCTTCTCCTACAACGACCACAACTACCCCTGCTCCGGTGGTGCCTGGGCCTCACGAGCACAGGCCGACGGGGCCCTTCCACGTGGCTTGCGAGATGCCCCCTCTCTGAGCGCCGTCCAGACAAGGGGGAGGGGTGAGAGGGCGACCCCAATCCTGTCGCTGCAAGTCGTCGTTCTCTCAAGGAACCACAAGTGTTCGGTCTTTTCATTTCATTTGATTCCTTTGGTTTTGCTTAGAAGCATTGTTCAGATCCTTGAGCCATTTCTGCATTTCGAATCTGTTCATTTTGTGACTAAAGTCAATAGAGATCACACGTTTGACTGTACTGGAACTTTCCCTGCGATACAAGCGTGGATGATCGATAGCATGTTGTTTAAAAAATTCACAATTAATAAAGAAGATACAACTACAAAAAGCAAATGACAGTGAATCTTTGAATGGGGAACAGTCTGACTTTCATTGTACCTTTTCCTCATCTCTTGTTTCTTCCTAGTCGTTACTTTGACCAACTTACTTGTCGATGCACATGCAAACTTTACAATGAGAGGCATCTCTATTCACAATTTTATAACAATAAGACAGCATTTTGCCAATAATCGTCTTACCGGTAGTGATCATAAGTCTGAAAATAATACTGATTCTTAAACAGTAAAAAAAAAACATCAATTGTTTATTCTAATAGCTTTTCTGGAGATGATTATCTATAACAGACTGGGGACTTTAACACTAGCATAGTACTAAGACACACTTACATAGATAAACATATTTTGGTAATTAAACGCGAAAGAGAATATACTTGTGTATATACTTCAGTGGTACTATAAGAGGTACAGACTTGCAAATATTTCAAGTTTCGGCGGTGTCGGACGTACGAAAACCTATCACGTCAAAATGGACCACTCGAACAAAACCAGCTCTCTCACACATGCAGCGTCTGTGCACTACGGTTTCTATAAGTGTACAAAATGAATGTGATTATTAAGGTAAATGAGTACTAAACGGCTAGATTTATGCATTATAATTTGTCCTAAAACAACAGTTTTACTACATTTTCATAAGTTCCTTGATTTCTGCTGTACTACGCTATATCATGTTAGAATTACCATTCACAATGTCGTGATGATGACCATTATGATTAGTAATGATAATGGTGCATGATGATACATTGATAATGATGATGATAATAAATAATAAAGACAATAAAAATGACAATAGCAATGGCAAACACATTGATAATAAAGATAATGATAATGGCGATAATAATAGTACATTCATATTGTGCTTGTTCATTAATTACACCGACTGTACTATCCTTATGATTATTATTTCTATAACTATAGTTATAATGATACTACTAATAGTAGGAATAATTATTCTTATTAGCATTATCGCCATCATTATCATTTTGCGGAAGACGGAAGAAATGGTATTACTTTAGTCATTAGTTGAATTTGCATGCAAATTCGAACGCATTCCTTTGGCTTCGACTCTGTACTTCAACGTCTGTTTGCCATTTGATAAACTTCGAAACAGCATTCTGTCCATGTATCCTCTTCTAGTGTCTTGGCATCTAATAGTGTAGACGGATCATGATGGTGCACTTTCCCTCCATCTTGTCTCTTGCAGTCTGGCCCAGCTGCCTTCCATCTCTGATGTCCAATTACTTCGTCGTCCAGTGTAACATGTTCGATCTTTATCTTCCTCTTGGCCTTTCTCCTACCATTTGGGCTTCGATTTTCTTCCATTATCCCTCCTTCTCTTCTTAACTCATGACCAGTGAGACCCCATCGCCTTCTGATGGTATTCACAGATGTCTCTTCATTCTTTATTTGTACAAAAATTCATTCATTTCTCTTCATGATATCCTCACCATTCTATCTTCTCCAAAACCATATTTCCGCTGCCTTACGCCTCACGCGAGTCATGGCCCATAGGCCATGGCACTCACTTTTGGCTAGTTTACCTGTTTTTGGTTGTTTATAGTTTTCTCTTGTATATACGTTATTTTTCATTGTATATCGTTTTTTTTATAACTTCATTATGCCTTTGTATATACTATTTTTACGCTTTTGCAAATTGTTCAGAACCTATATATATCCATATTCTTAATTGTCCAACTGCCTTTGCATTGGTTCTTTTTGACAGTTTTACTGATGCTGGAGGCCTAATGTTCACCTCCGAAACGTTTAATAAATATGAAGTTCTTCACTACTGTCCAAGTCTACCTCTTCATAATAACGATACGACGCCTGAGGGCAAACCTATCACTGTATATACATATATATATACATATATATAAAAATATATATTTATGTGTCTATGTATATATATAATAGAGAGAGAGGGAGATGTGTGTGTGTGTATGTGTGTGTGTGCAAATAAATGTATATATATATAAATAAATATATATATTTTTACATATGTAATTTCTTACAGTGAGTAATTGCTACTGAAAAAACACTAAATGCAAGCAATTTTGCAGGGGGGAATCTAATATGTTTGGGGGACAGCAGAGCCACTGCGCATTTTCTCTGGGGATGGTTCTGATATTCCATGTGAAATTACGCGTAGCAAATGTGACGTTTTTTTTTTCATCATAACCGTTTAGTTAACGTCCACGAGGACATGTTTCGATTCATTTCTTATCACCGAATTTCATACACGTTTGTTTTGTCTTGCATTTCATATTTTGAAAATTCCGTTCTTTGAAATATTCCTGTTTTTTTTTTCTTTCTTTCTTTTCTTTTCTTATTCTACATTACATCGTCGGCCAATTGCAGGCTCAGTGTTCTCCCCGTATTCGAACGACCAAATTCGAATACAAATTTGGCGTTAATCCCACCAGTCAAGTATTGACACGTAATGACGTCATCTAGTTGAGTTTCCAGTAATATTTATAATCAATAACGAAACAAATTCTGACATTTTCATGTCAAGGATGTATAAAAAAAATAATCAATATATATTCTCTCAGTTGTGGGATATCCAAACTGCAGCTCTAACTCTTAACACACACACACACATAAACACACACACGCACACATCACACATACATACACCCCCCCCCCCACACACACACACACATGAATGTATATATATATACATATTATGTGTATATATATATACCACACACACTCACACACACACACACACACACACACACACACACACACATATATGTATATATGTATGTATACGTATATGTATATTTATATATATATATGTATGTATATACACACACACATATATATATTTATGATACACACACACACACATACGTGCATTTACACACACACACATACACACATGAATATATATATATATATATATATATATATATATATATATATATATATATAGACATATAAATATATATGCGTGTGTATATATATATGTATATATATATATATATATATATATATATATATATATATATATATATATATATACATATGTATATAGCCTATATATACATACAGATATATATAAATATGCATACATACATACAGACACACATATATATTTATATATACTCATATACATATATATATATATATATATATATATATATATATATATATATATATATATATATATATATATGTATATATATATATATATATATATATGTGCATGTATATACATATTGAGAGAGAGAGAGAGAGATTAACAGATAGATGGATATAGATAGATATTCATACAGGATGATCATCCATCTATCCATGTAAGTACATTTCTTACCAGGAATAGCCACATT